AAGACTAAACTGGGAAATTTCTGACCTGGAACAGGAAAAGCTCGCGGAGATGGCCTCCCTTAAAAGGGAAAAGGACGCGGAAATAGAAAGGTTCGTAAACAGAATCAAATACATACAAAATGACCGCGGGGGAGAAAGGCAACAACTAATTGACGACCTACAAACTACAAAAAAGGAAAGGGATGAAATAATCAAAAGATATGATGCAGTCCAAGAAGAACTCAACGACGCTAAAGAAGGGCGGGCTACGACGCTGCAGTCCTTCAAAGATGCCGTGAAAGTAGCAAAGGGGTTGGATGAAGCACTCGCAAATTCCGCCAATGCCTTCGCGGAAGCCGAACAGGAAGGCATACAACTACGAAATCAAATTGCCCTCAAAGACGAGCAAATTCGACAATTAAGTGGCGCTGTCGAAGACTTAGAACATCACGCCAACGCGCAGCGGGGAATAATAGCCGACCAAACACGCCCCGAAGAAGAGCGGGTAGCTGCAGAAAGGGAATTGGAAACCACCCTGGAAAAACTCGAAGAGGCAAAGACGGAACTTACCACCGCAGAGCGGGAGCGGGGGCTTACCACCAAGGAAAAGGTAAAAAAGGCTCTTTTGAAGTATGGCGTTCCTCTTGCATTTGCGGTTGCTATTTCGAGCGTAGTAGGAGTTATCATGAACGCGCTCAAGGCTGCAGGCGCGGGCGTAAAGGCAATAGGAAAGAAATTAGGTAATGGGCTGACGGACTTGGGAAAAAAGATGGCAGCCGGCATTCCAGGGCTGCTGGGTAGCGTTCTTGGTCTGGCACTTAGGGCCGGCGGAGAACTGCTAAAGTTTGTGGGGAATAACATTTGGATCTTGGTCGTCGCTATTGGGGTGGTACTCCTGAAGAAGATGAAGGCTTAATCTTATCCTTGTGTATTACTGGCGGCTTATCGTCGTCAGGTATCCGAGGCGTCCTCGACCGGGGATAAGTAAAGATAGTATTCGCGCCGCCCTGATAATGCGGAACTAGCGGCAGCACGCTCATGGTGCTAATGGGCTTATGGTTCCAAATAGCATCCGTCAGAGGACCGACTGCCGGAGCAGCATTCATTCGAAACGCGCCGGGACGACCAAGAGCAGCATGGCTGGGTCGAACTTGAAGCTTCGCATATTGGCAATTGGCTACCATGTAAAAAGTCACGGGCGTTAGATCTTCTACGCTGGGTGGACTAGGCTGCGTCGAAAAGTGAACTGCATGCCTGCTGCCTTTTGTTTCATAARGCGGCAATGGGGTGTTGGTTTCATCTAAAATTCTAAAGCCGAGGTGACAACCCCACCCCGTACTGATACTAATAGTACACATTATCAATCCCAGACCCCCAACCCTCACCCATAATCCAGTGTCCTGCCACTTGTCGCCCACGTACTCCTTTTCCTCCAAGTAATGGAGAAACCAATCTTCCTTCGCGTGTGGATTCATATACTTAACACCGCAAGGGCGCTAATGGTCGCGTGATTGTAATCATTATCCCTTTGGTCATATATACTATTCACGGTAGCCGTCCCGCTGTCATCTACGCGTATTTGCAGCTTTACTTTTCCGTGGCAGTTAGCAACCATGTGAAAAGTCCAAACGGAAAGATTCTCAACGCTCGTCGTTGGCGGCTCTACGGAGAAATGCGCTGGTTCCCTGTTGTTTGTCTTCACACGCATAGGCTGCAGTATGCCATTGTCATCCAGGAACCTGAAGCCCACGTTGGCATGGCTGTCCGTACCAATGCAAATGCTGCATATTATCAGCTTCTTTCCAGAGTAGTTCAAGTCTACGGACATCCCCGTGACATCAACCCAAGATGCTTGGGTGTATTTTTTCTCGCCTGTGTAAGTCGTATARACACAATCTACTCCAGCTACGTAGGGGTTATTCATCGCCATATATAATAGCTCAGCTTGCGGCGGCTAAGCCGGCTTTTAGTAAGTTATGATCATATTCCTCAGGTATCGTAGGCAGGACCTTCTTTCGTTTCTTAACTACGGGTAGCTTCGTTTCGTGTGACTTTTTTGGCTCCTCTACGAAGTGAGGAATGCCCTTGGTAGTATCAGAGTTCACGTCATTCACCCCAAACTTCATATCCTTAGTAGCTCGCTGCAGCTTGTTGTTATAACCCACGACGGAATTGGTGTTAATAACCAAGTTACTTGGCATTAACCAACAACCAGGACTCAAGGCATAATCTAGCCGCACTTTAGATTGCTGCACCGCTAATTGATATCTCTGCACCGACTTGGATATGTCATTTTCTATTATTGCGGACTCAAACAGGGTTAGGATTTCCTGTTGCGTTTCCCGCGAAGCACCTTGGGATCCAACAATGGGGCTGCGGGTATTTACCTGCGCTCCCAGGATGCAGTAGACAAATGCCTCAATGCTGCGGTTAATTCGAGCTAGGTTTCTTAGGCCTTTTCCTTTTAATAATACAAACGGATCCCAAGGGCTGGGGTAAATCGTCTCAATCCTATCGATCAGCGTAACGTCATTCTTGCGACCACCCAAGTCGTAAAACTTTAGGACCCCGGGGTATTTTTGATGATACATGTCTGCCGGACGCACGCCGTCAACATGCCAAGCATAGATAATACCCAAACCATGCGTGGCGCCTTCCCGATAACGAAAGTCTCTTTGCTGCGGCTTAAACTCATTCATTAGTCTTTCTAGGGCAGCGGAATCGTAGTGGTTATCCATTCGATTGAATGGCTTTTCCCCCGGCAGGGGCACTCTCAGCTCCTTCAATATGCGCCGCATAGTAAAGGCAACGTGGAACCTTAGAAAGGCAATGTCGAACATATCCGCGGCAACCCCGCAGCCCTTCGTAGCCGCCCAGACGGCAA